GTGGCTAAATTTGAAGGTGCCACTGTTTTGTTCCAGGGCTGGGGATGGCCCCCAGTCCCTAGGAGATGCATTCCAGATACCTTGAGTTGGACCCTGTAGTGTATGCTTTTCCCCCATTACCACTAATAGACAGAATGTTAGCCAGAATTCAGAGAGGGAACAAGTTGCATTCTCATCACACTGTTCTGACCACATCAGATTTGGCTTCATGTCCTTCTCTGCCTGTCTCACAGCAGGCATGTTCACCTACCGGTTGTACCAGACCTCCTGAGAATTGGGAGTGTGTTACAGCATGGGGGTTGAGTGCCTCCACCTCACTGCCTGGTTCATCACACCTCACCACTACTTTTTTTCTCAATCAGTGTCTAATGTCATCCTTGGTGCCCGCTGGCCTTCCACCAGACTCTCATATAGTGCCAAAAGGAAACATTTCTCCATGTGGGCTCTGGCTAAGGTTTTTGCTCCCCCTGCTTGCCTTTGGTGCTAGAGTATCTGCTCACCCTGAAGGCTGTGGGTTTGACAGTCTCCTCTGTTAAGGTTTACATGGCTGCCATTTCTGCCTCTCTTGCCTCAGTAGAAGGTAAATCACTGTTTTCACACCATTCATCCTGCATGTTCTTTAAAGACTTGAATAACCTCTATCCACCTCTGTCGCCCCTATTGTTCCCCAATAGTCATGTCTGTGGTGCTGTCTTATTTAATGAAGGATCTCTTTGAGCCTTTGGCTACGTGCCCCTTGGATGCCTTCTCTTTTAAGATAGCCTTCTTGGTAACTGTTACTTTGACTGGATGAGTGAGGGAACTTGCAGCACTCAGAGCTGACCACCCATTCATAGAATTTTTTGAGCATAAGGTGGTCTTGAGGCCCAGTATGCATTTCCTCCCAAAGGTAATGTCCAGATTCCACCTAGTGCAGGACGTTTTGCTCCCTGTGTTTTCTCCAACCCCTCCTCTGTGGCCGAAAGAGCCTTGCACACCTTACATGAAAAATGGATTTGAAAACAACAAGCCAATTTTGAAGGGCTCCACAACTCTGTTTGTTTTACGGGTCCCTCTGGGCGGGGGGGAAGCCTGCTTCATCACAGATGTTGTTGAGATGGATTATCTCCACCATCAGGGTATGTTACAGCCAAGCAGGTCTTCCTTGCCCCCTCCAGGACAGGGCACATTCTAGAAGAGCGCAGGCTGCCTCGGCCATTTTCTAACAAGGCATCCCACTGACAGAGAACTGCAAAGCTGCAATGTGGTCATCAACAGATGCTTTCGTCAAGCAGTATTCTGTGGACATCAACACATGAAGGGAAACTTCTGTGCAGACAGCAGTTCTACACTCTCTCTTCCAATGAGAGACTCACCCCACCTCTTGGTAAATCAGCTTGCTCGTCTCCCAGTGTGGGACTGCATAGAAGACCAATGATGAAAACAGTGTTGCACTTAACAGTAACTGTTGTTCATCGAGTGTCTTCTGTGCAGGTACACATTCCCTCCTTCCTACCCTGTTGTGAGCTGTCATGTAAATACTTCTTCTCATAGAGACTCAACGTGGGAACTGAGGGAAAGGAAGCACCTCTCCTGGAGCACGTGGCCGTTTGAATGGGAAATGGCCACCAGAATGCTCTGGACAGGAGGGGCTCCTCGGCTCTGTTGCTAGGCTGAATAAGCTTTAAAAATCTTCCGAGCGGCAGGCCTGCGCACACACAGTCCCAATGTTGGACTGCACAGAAGACACTTGATGAACAACAGTTACAGGTAAGAGCAACACTGTTTTCTCACAGAACTGGGAAATTATTTTCTGGAGGGAAATTTAAGATTTTGATGGGGAACTCTCCTTCCTGGTCTAGAAGGAAAACACCCCAGTAGATGTTAGGATGTATGAGAGTATCAGCCCCTTGCAGGAGGAGAGGTTCACAGATTTTGCTTTATAACATCAAGTATTGTTTGAACAGCTTGTGAAGCTGAATTCATTGATTTGATTTGTGTTATTTGTAGTTCACTTTTCTCAGTGAGACTCAAAGTGGATTACAGAATATAAATCAATGTGATGGATCTGACCATATATCTAATAAGCAGTGTAATAAGACTTGGAATTGTAGAAATAGGAAGCAGAGCTGTCATCTGAACAAAGCAGAAGTGACATGTTAAATGATTCAGAACGTGGTGTTCCTTCAGTAGAGAGACAGTGCATTTTTAACTGTGGAGTGGAGAGGGTGAGAAGTCTAACACCTCTGACAAGGCGAAGTGTGATGTGTTTCTCTGATCGCATGTGCTTAGGAGTCCAGTGCAATAGGATTTTCATAGAAGCTAATCAGTCAGTTTAAGCCTTTGCTTGCCTGTGTAACTGTCACGCTCAATTAGCTCTTTCTCTCCATCTCTCTTTCTCTGAAGCCCAGCCTCCGTTCCCTAGCCAGCAGCCATCGTCCCAGATTCTCCCCGGGGCAGTCCCAGCAACCGTTCACCCTGCCATGGCTGGTAATATCCCCTCTGCTTTTGGAATGCCTTTTGGAATGCCTGCCTCCATCCCATTTAGCATGGCTAGTAACGTAACAGACTCCATCGGCATTAACTTCCCTGCTAACATGCCCATCCATCCAGTGCATGGTAACCTTGCAGCGTGCAGCATGGCTAATCCGCCCATCATCAACGTCTCTAGCGCCCTGCACCCTACTGCTGCCCCGCCGCCTTTTGGTTCCGCGGCTGCCCAGAGCCCAGCTATCGTGGCAGCAATGCAGGGCAGCCTCCTTCCAAATGCTGGTCTTTCATCAGGTGAGAACTGGCCCAGAGGCGAGGGCCGGGTGGCAGTGGGAGGAGGGAGATGTGGTTTTGCATTAGAGAGTCAAGGATGCTGTATAAAATCGCTGGTCTTGGGGTTCCTTCATGCCACATTGTGGTCGCTTCCCTATCCATTTTCTCATGGCAAAATAAACACATCACACTAAAGAAGTGATGGTGTTCAAGGATTGTTCCTGACACAGAGGTTATACCGTACAGGAACACGTCTTGCGTGTAGCGATCCAGTTTCTTTGTTGTACACTCAAGTGAAAAGCCGGACAAGACTAAGCCTGTCTGTTTTGTTCC